CAAGAATCATTGGATTGCCATTTCTGATTGTATTTGTTGGAATGATTGCGATATGGCGGACTCAGCAGCTGAATGTCGATATTTTATGTTAAAATCGAGGTGAGGAAACAATCATCGTCGAGTCGTCGAGTTGAGAACGTCAACTTTGTTCAAAATTTTATTAATTCCTCAATCTTCAGATTTGATGAAATGAAGGATGTTCTTGGGACTCGCTCGAATTTGAATGGGTGAGGATCCCATCTGAATACTTGAACATTCTTCCTTATCAGTCGAATTCTTCGTATGGTGGATTTAGTGGATGCTCGTCCGGATGAATTGGCTCGATTGTATTTCCACACGTAAGAAGCGTGTTGATGTTTTGTGTTATTAACTATGTGCTCCTTTCAGTCGAAGCCCGTACTCCTTGCCAGATTCAATAATATTTGTCCATAAAGAAGCGATTTACACATCAGGTACATCCACTCACTCTTCCGTTCTCACAAACTCCCGTGTTCAGGAATTTCGCAACTCTATCTTTGTTGGAGAGATTCTTCTATAAGGTGCGTTGTTGATTCAACTCTATTGATCTGTCTTTCTAAGCTTTGTTTTTCATCCAGCCGATTTCCGATCGACACAACAGATCATTCAGGGCAGTTGATACCGCGATATCAAGAAACAAACTTGCTTTTGCGACTTGCAGATGCTGCTGTGTTGACTGAAGGTAGATGTTATCTCATTGCCCCTTAGAGTGGATATGCCAGTCATCTCATCACAGAATCAAGAAATTAGAAGTACTACTCGTGATTGCTTCTTACAGATCGAATCGTTGTGGCTCGATTGAACAAGGACAAGTTGGCAAGTCAATTAAAATCACTTCCAAGAACAATTTACTTAACAAACTGGATGAAAGGGAGAATAAAAGAGGAACTCTTGATCAAGTAAGTATGCGGGTGTTATCTGGATGACAGAGATATTCTATGAACAACAACTCTTCCACAGAGTATCTATTCTTCCACAGAGTATCTATTTTGGGACTTGCTTTGGAAGGGCTCCCAGATGACAGACTTGTCGATGAGAGAGAAACATCTGCTACGGATTTACTTGTTGGAATGAAAATTATTGGGACACCATCACCGAAACGTGTTCGTGCTGAAACCCTTAATCGCATTGTCCATCAGTTCATTTTGAGACAAGCTCGAATTCGTAGATTAGGATCCACATACGATCCATTGGGACTCGTTGGGACATTGAATGCTTCCGAGGATGTCCCAAATCAGGAAGAAGCTCCTCTGGTCTATAGCGGGCCGTTACTGGATTTCGAAACGATTCTTCGGTGCGCTTCGACTGGTGAGTCGCACAGTCGGATGCTGTTATTAAGAGGCGAGAGGAATATGGAGGAATTTATGGACGAAGAATGTTTCGATGACGCACCGTTAGAAGACTGGTGCTGATAGAAGACGTATGAAAATTTTGAACGATTTTTGGTCGCCTAGCGCAGTGGTCATGAATCCAAAACAGATTAGATGCCTGATAGGAACAATTTCGAAGCTGGGAAAAGACTATTTCCCTTTCTACTCGTCGGTGGTACATTTCTAGTTGGTCGTCAATACGAGATTGGTTTCACGACAGAAGAAGAGCAGCGGTGGTTCGTACGGGGGTGCTGCCAGAATTGGGGACCTCTTTTTTGATCTGTCCGATCTTGAGGTTCTGGATTCTATGCAGAAACTTCGAGCCTGCACTTCAGATTTCTACATCTGTCATCGGTCGTCCTACACCCTTGGGTTATTGCATTGTCTATGGAGGTACATTCTTTCCGCTGATCCACAAGCGTATTTCAAATGGCATCATGGAAGCTGTCAGGAAGATATTTACGATATTTTGGAGGAATTCCAAAAGACATCAAAAGAGGGAGGTCTTTGGAGGGCTGATGATGAATTCGATGGTTTTCCAAGATCTGTGAAGGATAAGACTCTCAAAACCCGAAGGTCGTCATTACTTTCCAGAGATGGATTACACAAGCAAGAAAGTCGCGATTATTCCGTAGAGCGAAAGGTTGAAAATGAAGGAAATAAAGAGCAGCAGGTGGATCGGTTTTCCAGGAAGGGAATAGATTATCATCAAGATCATCGAGAAGAGATTGAAAAAGAGAATGAAGAGGATCCCAAGGACGTCGATGGGACGACAGACGATTTAAACATTGAGAGGAATCCATGGGAGAATGAAGAATTCAAAATTGCGCAACTCGAAATGAACTCGAGATCTTTTTCCTACTTGCTAGAACGCGTTGTGATGCCCTTGTGTTCCATTTTGTCGGTTGAGGCGGCTGATGTTTGGAGAAGATATTCTGAAAAAGTTTGGAAAGGAGAACAATTCTCAAGCGAACGACGATTTTCGAGCGAACAACGATTTTCGAGCGAACGACAATTCTCGAGCGAACGACGATTCTCGAGCGAACGACGATTCTCGAGCGAACTTTGTCGCATGGAAGACAATCGAAAAGAGGATGCTGAAGAAAAATCGGAGAACGATGGTCATCAAATAGAGTCAGAGGATACAGACGATGATGAAGATGAATGGCGCATCTCACCGATAGAACTGGAGAAAGACATTCCACCGGAGTCGCTCTTAGAAATTCTACGATTGATACTTCTTGTAAAATTATTACGAAGGATCATGACTGTTTTGGGAAATGATCCGTTGAGCGTTGAAATGGAACAACGACGAAAAAAACGGCCTTGGATTCATCACAGACTGGATGGCAAAATTAGCGTCATGTTCAATTTCGCTTGTAGATCCTTGTTGAATCCATTAATAAGAGACAAAGTCCCAATTCCTTCGACCCAGATGCTCAAGGATAAGGCGCTACGAATGTGTGCGCAAGCAAACGAGAATCAATCTACGAAGGACGACGACGCGAGTGTTAATGAAGACGCGATTGTTAATGGAGACGCGATTGTTATTGAAGACGCGATTGTTAATGGAGACGCGATTTCTCAGAGAAGGGGTTCAAATGGAGCGTGCGATTCTGGTGACGCTCTCATTCAATTGTGTCATTCACTCGAACCTGGGAAGGACTTGGAAGTGAAATGGAATACAGTTCTTGCAGCGATCAATAAAATAGTCGAAATATCTTTTAATCATCAATGCGAAGCTTATGGATCATTCTGTAATGGATTTCAAACAATCTTTTCAGATATCGACTTGATGATTCCGCTGACTGAAGCGCAAAAGCAAGTGGGTCGCCAAAATGGAAAAGGATACAAACTCGCTGTTAGAGCTGCTGCTCATTTCGTTGATGCGTTTTCGGAAGCGATTAGCGAGGTCCGTCGGAACACATCAACTTCAATGACGACGCGTTCTCATCTCAGTATAAGGATTTAAATATTAAATCTATCCCTCAAGCGTCAATTCCCGTCATCAAGGTCTTGGCACAGGTCGGCTTGTCCCAATTCATCACCTCGTTGTCCCAATTTTTCACCTCGTTTTCCCAATTTATTACCTCATTGTCCCAATTTTTTTTCAGATCCCCCCGTTTGACGGCATAGCGTGTGATATTACTTTCGATAACTGGCTTGGTGTTCGGAACTCTGCTCTTCTGCGCGCGTATGCTGAATCGGATCCACGGGCCAAGTTGCTTGGTAATCTCTTAATCGTCGCCATTCCCTCTACACTTCTTTCTACAGGCGTTCTGATTAAGTATTGGGTCAAGCGTCGCAGCATCGGCACTTCACGCAACGGATGTCTTTCCTCTTACGCATGGATCCTGATGGTGATCTATTTTCTCCAAATGAGGTGCACGTTCTTGCCTCTTCCCGTCACACCGATGCTTTACCCTCCTGAACGCCCTCCTTTAGGCCTGTTCTATTCCTCTCTCTGTCTCTTAGATCTGCCCCGTTACTTCCGAATCTCCAAGATATCACAACTCACATTCCGTTCTGTATTTGCGCAACGATAGAACACGATATTCACAATTGCTACTTTTACGATCCTCCGCGAGCGACTGGAGAAGGTACTGCTGTTTATTGCTTGTTACAATAATAAGAATGATAATAAGAATGTCCGTGCTTCCCGTTATGCCTTCAGGTCCCTCTGTTCAAGTTTCCCCCAGCGCTTATGTGTCGCTACAGCGCGCTTCTCTCCTTCCTGGCGGTCCCCCTGAAGTCTTTCTCTCCACCTTGCTCTCAGAATTCTTCAGGTAAGAGAGGCATCCTGCTGTTGCTGCCACTAAGAGACATGAATGGCGCCGTTGGGATGTCCGCTATTGTAGCATACGTTAGAAAATGGCTTTTAGTTATTCCCTTTGATTCACTCTCACTCTGTTCTGATGCTTGCTTCTTCACTTTTAAGGTTTTATGCTGCGGAGTTCAATTGGTACGCTGAAGTTGTTTCGATTCGTTTGGCTCCACGAAAAGTGATGAAAATGGAGCTTTTTCAAAACAAGCCTTGCGAACCAAAGAAAAAGAAGAAAAGGAGAAAGAAAGGGAAAGCGAGAGGAGAGAAGCTTCCTGAGGAGCAAGCCACGATCAATGGGATCAATGATGGCTTACAAACAAATTGCAATGCGGATGAATGTTTAATAAGCCAAGAGAAAAAGTGCGTTTGCGGAAGAGTGACTGCTACTAGCAACGAAGAGCCTTCCAACGAAAGCTTGCCAAATTTTGAATTGAATCCCATACCGGATTTCAAGTTCCATGATTATTCAAAGTAGGGTTACCAACAACGTCATTGATCTGAGTTAATTCTCTTAGAGTGTTGAACGGAGAGAGACGTCTCGACTCGTACTACGTTTTATCTATCGACGACCCTTTCGAAAACGGCAGAGTGCTGCAACCTGGGGTAAGCTTCAAAGGAATGCAAAATTGAAAAAATGATGGCTTTTAGCGGATGAAAAGAATCTTGTCTGAATTGCAACGCGCACATCATCTGCTAACAACTGGAAAATCGTTTATGGAAGTGGTGTGTGAGGAAGTCGAATTCTAAATTGAAGGGAAGAACTGTGACGTGACTCCAAAGCTCTTTTTTCACAAATTGGAATCAGCTGGATGGGTTTCGCAAAGAACTGACAAAAGAACAATAATACTGCAGATTGTTTCGTAGTGAAGTGTATGCCCAGATTTTTTTATTAAAGTGAATTTCGTTTATTCACTACAATACCACTACCAAGCGCAACGTTGGCTCCCTTCAGGTTCAAACACTCATTCCTGTTGGGTATCAAGTAAGCAGCAGATGTCTGAGCGGACGGAACAAAAAACGTTTAAGAGTTTCACATGGTGGGAGGCATCGGCATGTGCATTCCTGGGGGCAAAGGGAACTGAAGACAACAGCAAAAACATGTGGAAGGGATCTTGAACACAGGGGAGCGTACTGGGGGGCGGAACATGGGCATCCCTGCTGGGAATGGGTTGATACAAGGAAGCTCATCTAGGAAAGCAAATAAAACAAAAATTAAAAAAAAAGAAGTGATGGAAGGAGTTACCTCTTCCTGTTGGGGGGAGAATTGGTGCGCCAGTAGCAGAAGTGGGAGCAAAAACAGGAGGAGGAGGTGCTGGAAAGAATCAAAATCAATGAATGCAAGATCAAGAAAAGACTGACCAGGGATTGCTTGAACTGGAGGTGGCATTGCCATTGATGTCATCATTGAAGTCATCACATTTGCCATAACTTGTTGCTGTTGTTGATCTTTCATGAGTGTTTGACGACTTCCAGCAAGAAGCCGTTCAGCCGCACTACCATGACGTTCACCTAATGAAACGAGATAGAAGAGTGTTGAGTTCTCTGATCTTGAGTTCTTACCTTTAGTATCCTTCTTATACGCGTAAGAAACATGAATGGGACGATCGCATATGAATTGTCCGTTCATTGCTGTTAATGCGGCATCACTGGATTCAAATGCATCGTAAGAGACAAAACCGAAACCGCGATGTTCTCCTGTTTCTGGATCGCGCATGACTTTCGCACTCAGCAAATTCCCGAAAGCAGAAAAGGTATCCAGCAGTATGTGGTCGTCTACCTCAGGGTCAAGATTGCCAATAAACAAATTTGCTCCAACTTCTAGAGTCCGTTTATCTTGAGCTGCTTTATTACACCGAATCGGTTTGCTATACAGCTTGAGCATATTTAACACCTTCAAAGCGTAATCTGCATCTGTTTCGAGCTGAAACTCCACGAATCCATAATCTGAGGAAAAGATAAAAAGAAAATTTAGACAAAAAGATAAAAAATGTCAAAGATGTGATTCAATAGATGATGATTCGATGTGAACACAATGACCTCATGATGACACTCACTCGAATGCATTCCTGTCACTTTATCCCGTGGAATATGAACGTTTTTTACGGGACCTGCTTGGGTAAAAACCTCCCATAACAACTCCTCATCAGTTTTAGTGTCTAGATTTCCAACATAAACTGTTGCTTCTTGATTTCTCTCGTATATTTGATTAATGTCCGCAGGGCCGCGTCCATAACTCATTTTTTTAAAGGTTCTCCAGGACTGTTGGGTCACGCTCAACTGAATTTACTCCTTCGAAATATCTAGCGAAAGGGAACGGGCTTGGAAATATGCTGAGTCGGAACCAAAAAGTACTTGTTGGACTAGGGAGTGGCATTGCTATTGCAGGCTGGTACGCTTACACAAAACAACGAAAGGAAGAAAAAGAAGTCCAAGATATGGAAACACGACTTCTTGAACACATAAAGGATACAACGTCAGTAGTGCGCTTTACCTCGGAGCGCTAGGAAGCTATTGGTTTGTGTGTTCAGGTTTACGCAATGGGAGAAGGATGGTCTTGTTCAAGCAAAGCCACCTCAATGAATTTTTACGAGTTTTTTTGGCGCAATACCTGGGACCTTTTCCTATGTATCTATAGAAGAACAGCAACTCAGACAAATGTCTAAATTTGTTGCCCCGGCGTCATCTCGAATATCAATTGCAAAGGTGTGGCTCTTTATTCGTTCTCTCTGTATATCCTGTTTTCCTCTAGATCTTATTTGGAGGAGCTCTCGGATACTTCACTTATGCGGCTGCGCGCAAGTATTTCGCATGGAATCCCGTTGAAATCGTTCAATCACCAGATGGATCGCTCTACTTTCCAGGATACTCAAGTGCAGAAGGCCCCCCTCCAACGCACGGAAGGACAAAAGTGATAGCAGAGCATTTCCCACCACTTCTCTCAAACGAAGAAGCGATGCTGGAAACTCTTTCAGTCCGCTATACCGCCCCAAGAGAACATTTCAGTTTTCCGCCTGCTGATGTTGAAATTGAGGCACCGTTCCGGATGTAATTTTTGTATAGATTTTTCTAATCTTCACTGTCAAACATAACAGGAGCGGCTTGGTGCGTTCTCCTTCAATCTACAGTTTTTCGTTTTGTCTTCTTCCACTTTCACCCAACAACACAAAAACCGTCAATATGAATCAATTTGTACCCCAAAGAAGTTCGATCGCTTTATTTTCCAAGGTGCGTCTCACACTCTGTATTCATCTTTATTTTTGCACATTATTCTGATTTTATTAATTCTGAAGATTTTTGGATTAAGTGCGTTGGGATACCTTAGTTATAAATCATTCCGACGTTTCATGGCTTGGGATCCTTCTGACATTGTCACGTCCGACAAGGGAGGCGTGTATATTGCTGGGTACACCAGTGGAGAAGGGCCTCCAATCACTCACAACCGGAAAAAGGACTTGGGCGAACTACGTAAGCCGTGAGGCACATCAATCGGATATTCATTGTCTTGATGTAGCTTTCCATTGGCCACAGAAACTTTACGGCGCTGTAGAGAAGTGGTGATCAATGTACACACGCTCAAGAAATTACACACAGCTGAGCACACAGCGAAGAATTTCATCAGGTCAACTTGTTATTTTTCATATAGCGATGAATGCAAAGTTTTGGTAGTTTTGGGACACCACGAAAACACAGTCACCACTACTCTGCTGTCGCCATAGTCTTGCGTAGACGCTGAACAGTTGACCGTGCAGTTGCAGCTGCAGGAGTACTAAGAATCCAAGCTCCACCCGCCATAGTTTTGTCACATCCACGACACTTCCAGATGCCAACACAAGCTTGCTTGACGGAAGTCTGAAATTCACAGCAATGTGAGCGATGAGAAGTAATAGGAGAGGATCGCTGATAGAAGAGGATCCTACCTTTCCACAGAAGGGGCATTGGTACTTCGAGTGCTGCGATATCTCGATCTTCTTCACTTGCTTACGCAGCGACGCCCCGTACCTCGTACCGTACTTCCCAGTGACACCGACCTAAATTGAACGCGACAGAGTGAACGCAACAGTGTTGGGAGAGTGTTGTCCTCTTTTCTCACCTTCTTTGTTCTCTTAGACATCCCGACTAGTGTTGCAAAGGTCGTCAAAAAAGGCGGGGACCGAGGAACCTGATGATCGATTGTTTGGTGAAGATTGGGACACACTCTCCTGTACCTGATCAGGACTGCCTGTCACTTTGGGATATCAGCTGTTGAAGAAATGGATTTCGACGTCAACAGAAATGTTCGGATGCTGATGCGCCAACTTGAACTCGATGCCACTTCTCTTTATGTTGATTGGAACACAATAAATAATTCAAAAGATTTGAGTGAAGATACAAATGGGGTCTTTGTCCAACTCTCTCAACTGTTCCAATCTTGCATCAGTTCACAACAAAGTTTTGCAACGATTCTTGTTGGCCCCCCTGATGTCCCAAAAGTGTCTCTGGTTGAAACATCGATTCTCCTCGTTAATCAATTAAGATCTACAAACATCAAAAAACGAACTTCGATGAAAACTTCGATGAAAAATGCATCTGGATTTGATTTACGGGCTGTCGGAATTTCTGGAATTGATGCAAATGAAATCGGTTTGCTGAAATCAGTCGTGAGACAGTTATTCTTGTTAGTGAAAGGAATCATTGAAACTGCATCAGAAGAGAAGAAAGGAACGCTTTGGAAGGAACTGATGGGGGGACCAAGACGTCGAAGTATGCAATACATTGACTCGAATGAGCTCATGAATAGAATTACTGAGAGTTTGAAATGGGCGATTAAAGAAGGAACGAAAGTGAAAGAAAGGGAAGTAGTGAATTCGAGTGATGATCTTGATCCATTAACGCAAGAGTTAAAATCACTTCCATTTCAAGAGAATATTCTATTAATTACAGAATTATTAATAGCGTTGAAGAAATTGGAATGTCTACCGATTTTGGTGCTTGAATTAGAGGGTTTAGTCGTAGGGCGTCAGACTGTGTTGTACAGTTTATTCAACTTGATTCACAGAAAAGGGGTTTGCGTCGGAATAGTTGGAATGGCATCCACAGTGAATATAACGAGTCGATTCGAAAAAAGAGTGAAATCCCGATTTGGATTAAATCGAATCTTTTGTGGAATGGAACAAACATCTCGTGTAAGGATTGATTCACAAATTGGTAATCAATTATTTGTGAATCAATTTTGAGCTCGATTCATCGCAGGAGTTGAAACAAAATGTCGAAAGAAATTTGAAATGTCTGATCGAATATCATCAACCTGCAAAAACAACGAAAAAATTGGAAACGATAACGTCCCAAACTCAAACGGCGTTGAACGCAATAAGTTCTTCGTTTGAATCGGATCTCTATCAAGTACGAAGGAAAAGATTTGGGTGAAATATATTCGGGGGGCACCACTCACGTCAAAAATCTCCAAAATGGTCTTGATGTTTTCATTTACAGAAATTTCTAGCTTTCTGTAGTGCAACTGCTAATTGTCCGTTAAAAATTGCGATGCAGCCACTGATCGAGCTTCTTCTCCACCACACGCCCCATTCAGAACAATATGATACACAAGAGTTCAAATCGCACAACGTTGAGACGAAACCTGAAGACGTGAATGGCAGTTCGCAACGAAGCGGACGAAGAAGGAAGAGACAGCGAGACTCCAATCCAGTGGTTTCCCCGTAAGTAAAACCAGATATTTTTATGATGGCAGGTGCTCATTTCTAAAATGTTCTATAGAATCTCAGCCAGGAGAAGTAAGAAGCCGTAAGTGAAGTCTCATAAAATTTCAATCTCTTTTTTAAATCTCTTTTTCAAACTGACTGTTATGACAGAAGATTCGATGATAAAGAGAATTACGGAAAAATCGATGAAACTAACGAGGCTCCACTTGAAATTCATCAAAACGTTGATTTAGCGCCAAGCGTTAAGAAGGCAATAGACTGGGAGGTAAACGTAGCAAGGCGAGATGATCACTGAGGCTGCTCAAATAGTGTTACCATTCCACAAGCAGAATCAATTTTTACGCCTTCATGTATCGCGGGCATTTCTAGTCTTCAATATTTCTCAAATAAGCAGCTGCGGCTTTTAAGCCCATTCACTCTATATTCTCATCTATATTCTCATCTATATTCTCATCTATATTCTCATCTATATTCTCATCTATATTCTCATCTATATTCTCATCTATATTCTCATCTATATTCTCATCTATATTCTCATCTATATTCTCATCTATATTCTCATCTATATTCTCATCTATAGAGTCCCGTTACTGTTCTTTTTAAGACAATTTCTGCTACTCTCTTTATTTCGCAGAGTCATTATCATGATGAGATTTTAAAACAACTCTCTTTACCAGAACTTATCGTCTTAGTTGCTGTATCGCGATTGTATGCAAAGAAAGTTGTCCCAAAAACGTGGCCATTGATAATGAGAGAAGTGATGGTCATCAATAAAGCGGATTCTGAAAGGAGTTCATCAACATGCAATGAGGTTTGTACTCCATCCGTGTTTGCCCACACTCCTTCTGTGCTTTCCCTGTTATTCGTCATCTGTATTTGCGATCATGTTGTACTCCTTTACTTTTCAGTCATATCGTGTTGCTTTTTTACACCTTCTTGATTTAAAATTACTTCAATTATCTTCCTCAACAATAAAAACGCCATCACGACACATCGCAATTTCACAGGGAGTCAAGTACATTCACCTCAACAGGCAAGCACCATTCTAATGAGGATTTCCTGCTTTGCTTCAAGCTCATCAATTTTTTCACCAATTCAGGTTCGGAACATTGATAGAGGGGTTGAGGCTCCCCACGTTTGTTGAGATGTCATTTCTTATACATTGATTTTTCTCATCTGTGACATCTGCATCAACTGGTGCAATATATGTGTACTTTTTTGGGGCATGGCGTTAAATCGTCTGAACCACAATAACGACGAGTTTGATAACAAAGACAATCAAGAAAGAGAAGTGTTGAATGCGGCTGATCATTTTAATGAGGATGTGGTTCAAGTTCCTAACAACGACGAAATTAATGGCATGCGCTCCAATCGTCCATCAAAATTGGGACGATATATGGCGTCGCTGTCGAGTGCTGTTTTAGCCGTTGTCGGTTTTCCAGAGTTTGAGGCTCATGGACCATCAATCGCAGAATCATCTGATCAAGACGATGCCATCGATGATGATTCAGAAGATTTTGTTGATGTCGATTCCAATGATAGAAGACAACGGCACAGCGTCGAAGAGAATTATAATTATCTTCCTAGTCAACCAACACCTTCGAGTCCAAATGGGAGTCATATAGGATCCTATCGACCACCACATCTTCAAGCTTGGCGTCATGACAGCTTTGATGCTGCTTCTACATTACTCCATTCCCCTTTACCTGAAATGACTGGCCCCACATTGTTTACTTCTTTACCAACTTCATCAAAAAGTACTTTCATTGATGATGGAGATTCTTCAATTGGGCTCTCAAATTTCCCAACTTCGAGTGTTCCATCAATTTCTGACAATATCTCTGAAGATCAACGTGCTCCTGCATCAACTGAGACCGTGTGTTCTTCTCGTCCTCCAATTGGTGTCGTTCCATATCCAAAACCTCAGATTCCATCATTGAGTTTGATCTCCCCTCGTATTACTGGATTTGGTAATTCGATGGATCGAGGAAGGTCTAGAAGTCTGATTCCGCTCAATAGTGACTCAGATGATGAAAGTGATTATAGTGACGCTGAAGAAACGGATTTTGAAATCTCAGAAACACTAACAGCTGCTGCAGGTGATTCACTTGATGCCTTCAACTCGTGATGGAATCAACTGTGAAATTCAAAAAGGATTCTTAATTGGTTTTCAAATTTGTCTTTGTCTGCAGATTGGGTGATTCGACTGACAAGCAAAGCCCCGTTCCCTAAAACCAAAGCCGAGCGATTGGCATCTGATGGTGCTGCATTCCCAATTGCTGAAAATGGTACGATTGTTCGTGCAGAAAACATGATTGTCAGAATTGATTCTTACGTGTCTTGGTTTCTTGTAGATGTGCCGCTCAATCCCACACGGTCTTATCAACCGCCATCACTCGGAGTGTCTTCCCTTGCAGTTTCATCATTAGCAGATTCCTCTCTAGAACACTCAGAACCTTCGAGTGCGGCGCCCGTAACTGAACCATCTCAATCACGAATTTCTCAGGCTTTAGCGGGTACAAGTTCTTATATCATTGTTGATGTGTTTATCGTGTTACTGCAGGTGTAACTGCTCTCGTTAACCTCCCTCTTCGTTTCTTGTCTGATCCCATGTTCACTGATTTGTTTTATGAATCGGAATCAAGTGATGATGAAGACGGAAGGACAAGAAGAGTTGTTCGACAAGAAAACGGCTTGCCCGAAAACCACCCCTCCCCCAGTGATAAAGGCGGCCCTATTCCAATAGATGCAAGCGTTTCCCCCATGCTACAAGAAGATGAAGAAGAAATAGCGAATTCCACAATCGGCGAATCACTCATTTCTGCGTTAGATCGAGTTGTTGATGCAGTTTTGCCAGATGTTTTATTTTCTGATCAGTCAGTGCAGGAAGGCTCAACTTGTTTTTAGACGGTACTGGAAAACTTATACCGCACCAGTAATCAATTATCTCGTCGTCATGAATTACCAACAGTTGAACTGCAGGTTCAGGTCTGTGATTATTTTTCAATGTTTGGTTTCTCACGTGGTACTTCGTTTTTCTTCTCAAAGGGAGCAGCCCTTCGACGTATTGAATTCTTGCCAGCCTGCTACCTAGCTTCAACTCCTGTGTGGAATCGTTGCCTTTTTGCATCTCTTGCTTATGCATCTACTCCGGCGAAAGAAAAAAAATCCGGATGAAAATCGGAAAACAAAAGGAGCGAAAAGAGGCAATCGATCTCGGCAATCTCACGTTTGATGACCCCAAGCTGGCATTTGGGTCCATTTCTTCAAGCGAGCTGATCAAAAAAGGCAGTTTTGCTCCAAGCGCTCCGAATTCCCGGTAGGGAGAGCTATAATGTCTGATCGTGATATAGTGTAAAACAAATTCAAGGCGCGATGCGATATTGTTATTGTAGGAGTGGCAAAAAATTCAAATAGGCTGATTAATTTATCGAACAGCCTTTTTGGGAAGAGAGTAACGATGGCGCTCATTAGAACAACACTATTCAACCAATTTTGCGGCGGTGAAGACCTTGACGGCCTGGTAAAAACTGGTCAACGACTCAACGATTTGGTGAGTAGAATCTCAATTTTCTATCATTTGTTTCTTTCGTCAGGGTGTTGGATGCATCGTTGATTTTGCTGCTGAAAGTTCTGAAGAAAAAGCGGACGTAACAAAATGGTTGGATTCTAATGTTATTTTAACTCAAGATGCGATTCGATCAGCGGCACAAATGAAAGAAAAAGAAAGTAAGAAAGGTAATATAGGAACGTCAATCTACAGATGAGTGACATGTTAAAGTCAAATTTGAAACCTCTTATAATTCTCAAGTCGTATGTGGCTACTCATATCTGCATCACTTCGTTTCAGCCGGAGAAGCCAAAGGCAACTTCGCGTTCGTCGCTATAAAAGTGACTTCTATTTGCGACCCAGCTCTCTTGCGCAAACTCTCAACGACGTTGAACTTTGTGCATCACGCTTTCGCGGCTGCATGTGGCTCTCTTCAGCTGGATGGCGGAGTTTCTGTTATTGCAGATCCACGGGATCATCATCTGTTGATGAATCAGACCCTCACGCAAGCTCAATTTACATCCATAGTAACAGCGTTATGGCCGTCAGTTTCTTCAGCATCAGCCGCAAAGATGTATACTGAAGCACTTCGTCAGCCTGGATCGTTGGAGAACCAGAAATTGACCCTTTCATTTTTCCAATGGCACAAGTACTTCACACCGCAGCGATTGGCATCATTACCCGCTCCTGTCGTTCCTTCCAATCCGATTAATACAGACGTATTGAAACGCTGTTGGCTATCAACGAGTGATGTTGAAGCGATTGAACTCGCATCAGCACGAATGGACCGAATCGCAGAATCGTCAAGAGATCCAGAAATCCGTTTGCTTGTCGATGCAGAACAAACGTTCTTCCAAACAGCGATTGACTATTTTGCTGTTGAACAGCAAGAGAAATTGAACAGGCCCAGGGATCCGAACCAAGATCTTCATTCGGCTCCTGGACTCATTTATAATACCTACCAAATGTACCTGAAGAATTCTCTGGGAAAGCTCATGTGTGACGCAAAAAGGGCAGAAGTTTTTGGATATAAATTTTCTGTCAAACTCGTAAGATTAATTCAATTATACTGATTGATTATAGTCTTACTGATTTTGTAGTGATTGATTATAGTCTTACTGATTTTGTAGTGATTGATTATATAGTCTTAGTGATTTTGTAGTGATTGATTATATAGTCTTAGTGATTTTGTAGTGATTGATTATATAGTCTTAGTGATTTTGTAGTGATTGATTATATAGTCTTAGTGATTTTGTAGTGATTGATTATATAGTCTTACTGATTTTGTAGTGATTGATTATATAGTCTTACTGATTTTGTAGTGATTGATTATATAGTCTTACTGATTTTGTAGTGATTGATTATATAGTCTTACTGATTTTGTAGTGATTGATTATATAGTCTTAGTGATTTTGTAGTGATTGATTATATAGTCTTAGTGATTTTGTAGTGATTGATTATATAGTCTTAGTGATTTTGTAGTGATTGATTATATAGTCTTAGTGATTTTGTAGTGATTGATTATATAGTCTTAGTGATTTTGTAGTGATTGATTATATAGTCTTAGTGATTTTGTAGTGATTGATTATATAGTCTTAGTGATTTTGTAGTGATTGATTATATAGTCTTAGTGATTTTGTAGTGATTGATTATATAGTCTTAGTGATTTTGTAGTGATTGATTATATAGTCTTAGTGATTTTGTAGTGATTGATTATATAGTCTTAGTGATTTTGTAGTGATTGATTATATAGTCTTAGTGATTTTGTAGTGATTGATTATATAGTCTTAGTGATTTTGTAGTGATTGATTATATAGTCTTAGTGATTTTGTAGTGATTGATTATATAGTCTTAGTGATTTTGTAGCGATTGATTATATAGTCTTAGTGATTTTGTAGTGATTGATTATATAGTCTTAGTGATTTTGTAGTGATTGATTATATAGTCTTAGTGATTTTGTAGTGATTGATTATATAGTCTTAGTGATTTTGTAGTGATTGATTATATAGTCTTAGTGATTTTGTAGTGATTGATTATATAGTCTTAGTGATTGATTATATTCATCATTAATTATTATCATGCAGGTTCGCGGTGCATACATGTTCCAAGAGCGGCGATGCGCCGAAGAAGCGCATTATGATTCGCCTGTTCATAATTCCATCGATGCAACTCACGAGTCTTTCAACGAAGGACTTCGTTTCATGATTAAAAATATTGGGAATTCAGAGCTCCTTTGCGGTGAGTGAAAAGATTATAGTCTTTATGACCATTTTGAAAAAATTATAGTTTTGATTAGTTGAAACTCTTCAGGAACCCATAACGAAGACTCTGCCCGTTTGGCCGCGGCTCTTCTGTCTCAAAAAGCTGCAGGACAAGATTTACGCAATTTGCCGGTCTCATTCGGACAACTTTTAGGAATGTGCGACCACATTAGTTTGATTTTATCCAAGGCTGGATGTCGAGTCTACAAATACACCCCCTATGGACCAGTAAGCATATTATCACGGATGAGAGGATCATCACGTATGAGTTATCATCATGGCATGAATTATCCATCAATGTGACATTAATCATTCCTCATTAATTTGATTATCAGATCGATCTTGTAATTCCTTATCTGGTTCGTCGAGCGGAAGAAAATTCAAGCATTGTCGGAAGCTCTGTGCAAGAAACCCGTTTGATCTGGTCTGAACTTCGACACCGTTTATTCGAGCGAATGAGGGTTTGGTGAAAGGCTTTGTAGATTTCTTTGCTTCGTCTTCTTCTCGTCTTGGAAATTTTTCTGTACATAGCGAGCAATTCCGCTGAAGATCTCGTCTAGTTTTCTCTTCACTGCGCATCGCTCGTTCTTTGTGCTCCATCTTTCTCATTTTTTGATAGAATCTGGATCAATCACTATTTTTCTTGTTTCTGAAATTTTTCTGTTGTCTATGAAGAGATTTTCTAGTAAAGAGCGATTTTCCCTGTAAAGACAAAGATCAATTGGTCTCTCTTGCTGCATCTCTCGTGGACGCATTGAAAACTTCTTCTTCCGGCCATCGCCTCTTAACACTCGTTGCTTAACCAACTGCGCCGAGAATCGTCCAATGCGGTGAAGGACCCCCATCTTTGTTATTCGGTCACCTAATGATGTTAAGCTATCGACAGGTTGCTAAGCCCCTCTGGTAAGGACACAACGATCTTCACAGCTTGGATTTGGAACCGGTTGACAATATCATTTGTTTGCAAGCTATCAAAGGTGAGCCCTCAACGACGCTTCCTCTTTGTATGCGATTGTTACTTTCTAAACAGACTCTTCTTAACTTCTGATTAGCCTCTCCCAACCTTCACTGCCAGTTTGGATACTATCAAAAAACACTCTTCTTAGCACAGCCAGAGAATTGTTTCTAAGGCTCTCGTTTCGTTTGTTTTCTCCGATCTCCCAAGCTTCGAACAAATTGCTGTCAACCTTCTTGACTGATCGATTCACAAATCCGCTGGGAGACTTTCAGCTGCGGACTCTGACCTGTGATGGCGTCCAGCTCTCTTGAAATTGAAGGCCAATCGCCTAGATGGCAAAGTTGGTTCAACTTGAACACTGTGCATCAAAATAAAGATCGCCTTAACTCAGTGAGTTTGATCTTCTTACGGCTGTAATATGATTCAGTGAGGTCTGCATGCACAAGGGAATAAACTGTGCTACAATCAGTTCTTGAGAGTGTGCATATTGATGGCTTCTCTTTTCTTCAACCCAACAAGATTAGAATTCCAAAAGAGAATACCAGAATCAAATGCAATGACAAAGCCACCCTGGAATAGCCTCCAGTGCAGATGGTAGTAGCAATTATTCAAATGAGAACTTTGAAGACTGAAGTGGAGAAGGGTTCCATGTGAACAGCAATTGGACATGGGTTAGCCGGTCCTAAGGGAAAGAGTCATTTCTCTTGCTTAGCCATAACTCCACTCTGACTTGATTTCCCTACCCTACATTCCTCCACATCCATCCAGTGTGTGGTGGAATTGCGTCGAGGAGAACCTGTGGTCGCATCCTAAGTTATTTAACTTCGGATGCATTTCATCAGACCAATACCGGAAACTGAATCCAAAAATAACGGAGAAAATCCAAAAAGGAGAAAACCTCCATGCAATACCGGAAACTGAATCCGAAGATTCATTTATTCACGATTGACATCAAGCGCACCAATTTAATCAGCTGGTTGGAATCGTGGCCTCGCTAGTACCGCTCCCTTTTTTTTTGAACATGACAATAAATGAGCTCGTCTTCCATATTTGGGTCTTTGTCGGAAAGGCGTGCTTGAATAGAAATTGTTCATGTGAAGATTATCGTGCTTGAATAGAAATTGTTCATGTGAAGATTAGTTGACAGTGATGTAAGAAACTATTCTCGCGATGTGCTTGCCATCTCCCTCAGTTGAATGGCGACAAAAAAACTCTGTTGAATGGTTGGAGCGGAGTTGAGAGCGAATCAATGATGGTAAATGGGTGGGTATAAAAAAGAAGATCCGGAGAGAGCTAGAATCTTGGAATTAAATAAAGGTTGGCGTCTGCTACATGGATTGCATGATGTAATCCGGCCGCGTTGACTCCATCAGTGGTAAGGTCTCATGGGCTTCAGTTTTTACATACCAATTTCGCTTGTTGCATTTTAAAGTCTCGAACTTCCTCATTCCGATGAATGATAAAACACATAGTTTGTTTTTTCTTTAACCGATCGGGATATCCATTGGAACAGCACCTTGCATGTGTCTCTGGTTGCGTAACATGGAATTTTCAGGCTGTTTTTCATCATATTTGTCATGTCCCCCTTCTATTGGTTGGTCTCTATCGCCCACAGCTCTGTTGCTCAGTTTCTTCGGAAGTGCGGGAACTAACGACGCCTTTGGCTTCGGCAATTCAGGCTTTGGAGCAAGTTCCCCATTCTGTTCAATTGGTTCGTATGACTCTTTTGGTGGAGGACAGCGCAATTTTAATCAGTTTCGCAACTTTGGTGGTGGCCGTTTTGGGGGGAGGGGTCATGGTGGATTCTACAGACGACGCCTTGAAGAAAATCTAGAAAACAACTCCGAGCAAACTGAAACCAGTTCAAAGGTCGAGAAGAGGGATCTCCATAAAAAGAAAGGCTACGGAGGTTTCGAACCAAACTTATGCTACCAAACGTTTTTTTTTACCGACCCGCACCTAATAGATCGGGTCAGTATTTCCGGAACTGGATTGCGCACGAGGTTCTCGGGCCACACTCAAAAAAATGAATTCTCGTATCGCATTTCTTTTTATTATCTGCGCTTTTTTATTGAAGGAAGGTTCCGCGTGGTGCTCTGTCGCTTGCAAAAAATGTGTATCGGGTACGGGGGGGTCTAATCGAGAGTGCGCGCTGTGTCACGATGACCCTAGTATTATGGGGTGTGGCGCCATATCGATGTATTGTGTGTGCGGAGATACGACAACGTCAACAACGACAACAATGACAACAACAACAACAACAACAACAACAACGACAACAACAACAACGACAACAACAACAACGACAACAACAACAACGACAACAACAACGACAACAACAAGAACAACGACTACAACGACTACAACGACGACGCCAACCACAACGACGACAACGACAACAACAACGACAACAACAACGACAACGACAACCACAACGACGACGACAACAACGACAACGACGACAACAACAACAACAACGACGACAACAACCACAACAACCACAACAACCACTACAACGACTACAACGACAACAACGACGACGAGTACCACAGCAACAAGCAGCACCATAGGGACAACCACAGCAAGTACCAAGAACACAGGTCCGTTGCCGGTTTTTCTTCTCACCGGTGTCATCTGCCTTCTTTCAGGTTCATCATCCACCACAGCAGCAGGGGGTACAACCGGGTCTAAGACTGCTATTATCGCCGTATCGTCCGCCGTTGGAGGAGCTGCCCTCCTCATTGGGGGTCTTGCAGGTGCGAGCCGATTCTTTAAACCTGCAACAGAAGTGCTGATGGAAGATGCTGATTGGGATCGTCAGTCAGTCTACGACATCGAAGATCATGAAATCGAAACCCGAGCTGCGAGCGTCGACTACGCTTGACAACTCCTGAATGTACCTGTTTGTTCTTCTTGAGTCTTATTGTGTTTCACACATTTGTATCCTGGTTTCGTGTTCCGTCGTGTTCTATTTTTTTTCGGAGTCTTGCCCTGAGACAATGGTTTGGTGCTCCCTTAATTTAATCCGGACAGTTCTGAGTCACAATATCGAATGTATCGTTTACGGGTGATAAACTCTTCTCTCCATCTGATTTTCGTGTCTTGTTCAAAATGGAGAAAACACCAATCCCGCAATTTTAATCAGTTTCGCAACCTTCCCAGCTTGTTTAACTGATGTCTATCAGAAACAAGCACCTTGCATGTGTCTCTCGTTGATACATCTATGCAATAATCGCCCACATCTCTGTTAATCGCCCACATGTTGCTCAATTCTTCGGAAGTGCCGACGGCAATTCAGGCTGCTCCCCATTCGCTTCAATTGGTTCGTATGACTCTTTTGGTGGAGGACAGCGCAATTTTAATCAGTTTCGCAACTTTGGTGGTGGCGGTTTTGGGGGGAGGGGTCATGGTGGATTCTACAGACGGACGCCTTGAAGAAAATCTAGAAAACAACTCCGAGCAAACTGAAACCAGTTCAAAGGTCGAGAAGAGGGATCTCCATAAAAAGAAAGGCTACGGAGGTTTCGAACCAAACTAATGCTACCGAACGTTTTTTTTTATCGACCCGCACCTAATAGATCGGGTCAGTATTTCCGGAACTGGATTGCGCACGAGGTTCTCGGGCCACACTCAAAAAATGAATTCTCGTATCGCATTTCTTTTTATTATCTGCGCTTTTTTATTGAAGGAAGGTTCCGCGTGGTGCTCTGTCGCTTGCAAAAAATGTGTATCGGTTACGGGGGGGTCTAATCGAGAGTGCGCGCTGTGTCACGATGACCCTAGTATTATGGGGTGTGGCGCCATATCGATGTATTGTGTGTGCGGAGATACGACAACGTCAACAACGACAACAATGACAACAACAACAACAACAACAACGACAACAACAACAACGACAACAACAACAACGACAACAACAACGTCAACAACAACAACAACAACAACAACAACAACAACAACCACAACGACGACGACAACAACAACGACGACAACGACAACAACAACCACAACGACGACGACAACAACAACGACGACAACGACAACAACAACGACAACGACAACCACAACGACGACGACAACAACAACGACAACGACGACAACAACAACGACAACGACGACAACAACAACGACAACGACGACAACAACAACAACACCGACAACATCAACAACGACAACAACAACAACACCGACAACAACACCGACAACAACAACGACGACAACAACAACGACGACAACGACGACTACAACCACAACAACCACTACAACGACTACAACGACAACAACGACGACGAGTACCACAGCAACAAGCAGCACCATAGGGACAACCACAGCAAGTACCAAGAAC